GTAAATTGGGGCTGAGCACCTGAAAAATCCATGGAAAAGGATAAAAAAAGAGGGATGGGGTGGGAATTACCCGTAAATTGGGTGCTGAGCACCTGAAAAATCCATGGAAAAGGATAAAAAAAGCGGGATTTGGTGGGAATTCCCTGTAAATTGGGGGCTGAGCACCTGAAAATCCATGGAAAAGGATAAAAAGAGGGATTTGGTGGGAATTACCCGTAAATTGGGGCTGAGCACCTGAAAATCCATGGAAAAGGATAAAAAAAGCGGGATTTGGTGGGAATTACCCGTAAATTGGGGGCTGAGCACCTGAAAAATCCATGGAAAAGGATAAAAAAAGAGGGATTTGGTGGGAATTCCCTGTAAATTGGGGGCTGAGCACCTGAAAAATCCATGGAAAAGGATAAAAAGAGGGATTGGTGGGAATTACCTGTAAATTGGGGGCTGAGCACCTGAAAATCCATGGAAAAGGATAAAAGAGGGATTGGGGTGGGAATTACCTGTAAATTGGGGGCTGAGCACCTGAAAATCCATGGAAAAGGATAAAAAGAGGGATTTGGTGGGAATTACCTGTAAATTGGGGGCTGAGCACCTGAAAAATCCATGGAAAAGGATAAAAAGAGGGATTTGGTGGGAATTACCTGTAAATTGGGGGCTGAGCACCTGAAAATCCATGGAAAAGGATAAAAAAGAGGGATTTGGTGGGAATTACCTGTAAATTGGGGGCTGAGCACCTGAAAAATCCATGGAAAAGGATAAAAAAAGAGGGATTGGGTGGGAATTCCCTGTAAATTGGGGGCTGAGCACCTGAAAAATCCATGGAAAAGGATAAAAAAAGAGGGATGGGGTGGGAAATTCCCTGTAAATTGGGGGCTGAGCACCTGAAAAATCCATGGAAAAGGATAAAAAAAGAGGGATTTGGTGGGAATTCCCTGTAAATTGGGGGCTGAGCACCTGAAAAATCCATGGAAAAGGATAAAAAAAGAGGGATGGGGTGGGAATTACCCGTAAATTGGGGGCTGAGCACCTGAAAAATCCATGGAAAAGGATAAAAAAAGAGGGATGGGGTGGGAATTACCCGTAAATTGGGGGCTGAGCACCTGAAAAATCCATGGAAAAGGATAAAAAAAGAGGGATTGGGGTGGGAATTCCCTGTAAATTGGGGGCTGAGCACCTGAAAAATCCATGGAAAAGGATAAAAAAAGAGGGATTTGGTGGGAATTACCCGTAAATTGGGGGCTGAGCAGCTGAAAAATCCATGGAAAAGGATAAAAAAAGAGGGATTTGGTGGGAATTACCCGTAAATTGGGGGCTGAGCACCTGAAAAATCCATGGAAAAGGATAAAAAAAGAGGGATTTGGTGGGAAATTCCCTGTAAATTGGGGGCTGAGCACCTGAAAAATCCATGGAAAAGGATAAAAAAAGAGGGATTTGGTGGGAATTACCCGTAAATTGGGGGCTGAGCACCTGAAAATCCATGGAAAAGGATAAAAAGAGGGATTTGGTGGGAATTACCTGTAAATTGGGGGCTGAGCACCTGAAAAATCCATGGAAAAGGATAAAAAAAGCGGGATGGGGTGGGAATTACCTGTAAATTGGGGGCTGAGCACCTGAAAAATCCATGGAAAAGGATAAAAAAAGAGGGATTTGGTGGGAATTACCTGTAAATTGGGGGCTGAGCACCTGGGGGTTGTGCAGGATGTCCTTCCAGAGCTGCTCGAATTCCGGGATCCGCGCCACGTTCTGGAGCAGCCGCACCAGATCCCGGCCGATCATGAAGCAATCCATGAACTGGGAATGGAAAAAACCAGGGAAAAATCAAAATATTCCCGGTTTTTTGGGCATCTGAAAGGAGGAGAAGGAGGGGGAGGAGGAGATTTTCCATTCCCATGGTTTATTCCTGATCCTGGCATTCCCAACACAGGGAAAAAAAATAAGGGAAAAATCAAAATATTCCCGGTTTTTTGGTCATCTGAAAGGAGGAAAAGGAGAGGGAGGAGAAGTTTTTCCATTCCCATGGTTTATTCCTGATCCTGGCATTCCCAAAATCCCCCTGGGATTAAGGAACACAGGGAAAAAAATAAGGAAAAATCAAAATATTCCCATTTTTTTGGGCATCTGAAAGGAGGAGAAGGAGAGGGAGGAGAAGTTTTTCATTCCCATGGTTTATTCCTGATCCTGGCATTCCCAACACAGGGAAAAAAAATAAGGAAAAATCAAAATATTCCTGGTTTTTTGGTCATCATTCCCTCTCCTACCCCTGGAATTCCCTCTCCCACCCCTGGAATTTTTTGGGCATCTGAAAGGAGGAGAAGGAGGGGGAGGAGAAGTTTTGCCATTCCCATGGTTTATTCCTGATCCTGGCATTCCCAACCCCCCCTGGGATTAAGGAACACAGGGAAAAAATAGGGAAAAATAAAAATATTCCTGGTTTTTTTGGTCATCATTCCCACTCTCACCCCTGGAATTCCCACTCCCACCCCTGGAATTCCCACTCCCACCCCTGGAATTTTTTGGGCATCTGAAAGGAGGAGAAGGAGAGGGAGGAGAAGTTTTGTCATTCCCATGGTTTATTCCTGATCCTGGCATTCCCAACCCCCCTGGGATTAAGGAACACAGGGAAAAAAATAAGGAAAAATCAAAATATTCCTGGTTTTTTGGTCATCTGAAGGGAGGAGAAGGAGAGGGAGGAGAAGTTTTTTCATTCCCATGGTTTATTCCTGATCCTGGCATTCCCAAAATCCCCCTGGGATTAAGGAACACAGGGAAAAAAGCAGGAAATAAAGAGAAATTTGGGAATGTTCCCCCTTTTCCAGAGGGAAAATCAGCCCTGAAATATCCCAGTTTTTCCCTCTCTCCTCTCCCCCACATTTCCAGGATCTTGGGAAAGTTGGGAATGAGGGATTTTGGGGGGGGATTCAGCCCCAAATTTGGGATTAGGGTGGGATTTTGAAGGATCCAGGAGGGTTTTCCAACCATTCCATCACTTCCTGGGGGAAAATTGGGAATTCTTTCCCAGTTTTTTAACATTTACACCCAATCCTTGAGCAGGGAGATGCAAAATCCACCTCCCTGGGGGAAAACTGGGAATTCTTTCCTGGTTTTCCTGGAGCAGGGAGATGCAGAATTCCACCTCCCTGGGGGAAAATTGGGAATTCTTTCCTGGTTTTCCAGGTTTCTCACCCGTTCCCAGAGCAGGGAGATGCAAAATTCCACCTCCCTGGGGGAAAATTGGGAATTCTTTCCCGGTTTTTTAACATTTACACCCATTCCCAGAGCAGGGAGATGCAAAATTCCACCTCTCCTGGGGAAAATTGGGAATTCTTTCCGGTTTTTCCCGGTTTCTACCCGTTCCGGAGCAGGGAGATGCAGAATTCCACCTCCCTGGGGAAAATTGGGAATTCTTTCCCAGTCCAGGTTTCCTCCGAGGGAATTCTTTCCTTTCCAGGTTTCTCACCCTTCCCGGAGCAGGGAGATGCAAAATTCACCTCCCTGGGGGAAAATTGGGAATTCTTTCCTGGTTTTTTTAACATTTACACCCATTCCCAGAGCAGGGAGATGCAAAATTCACCTCCCTGGGGGAAAATTGGGAATTCTTTCCTGGTTTTCCTGGAGCAGGGAGATGCAGAATTCCACCTCCCTGGGGGAAAATTGGGAATTCTTTCCTGGTTTTTTAACATTTACACCCATTCCCAGAGCAGGGAGATGCAGAATCCACCTCCCTGAGGGAAAATTGGGAATTCTTTCCCGGTTTTCCCGGTTTCTCACCCGTTCCCGGAGCAGGGAGATGCAGAATTCCACCTCCCTGGGGGAAAATTGGGAATTCTTTCCCGGTTTCTCACCCGTTCCCGGAGCAGGGAGATGCAGAACTCCACCTCCTTCTGGCGCAGCCCCTGGAGCTGGGGGGTGCCGTGGTGATCCACCAGCAGCCTCAGGTAGGTGTAAACGGCCATGGCCACCAGCAGGCTGCTCTTCAGCACCCAATCCCTGGGGAGAGACAATTCCAGAGGGAATTCCCAACGGGAATTGTGGGCTGGAGTGGGATAAATGAGGTGGGACGGGACAAGGAGGGGATTTATGGGATCCTGGGATGGTGGGATGGACACTTTGGGGTCCTGGTTCCACCAGCAGATGCTCCTCAGCACCCACTCCCTGCCAGGAGACAATTCCAGAGGGAATTCCCTGCAGGGAGACAATTCCAGAGGGAATTCCCAACAGGAATCACAGCCTGGGTGGGATAAATGAGGTGGGATGGGACAAGGAAGGGATTTATGGGATCCTGGGATGGTGGGATGGGGTTGGGAGGGACACTTTGGGGTCCTGGTTCAACTTCCAGGCTGCTCTTCAGCACCCACTCCCTGTAGGGAGACAATTCCAGAGGGAATTCCCAATGGGAATTGTGGGCTGGAGTGGGATAATCAGCGGGAATTGGGATGGGGAAGGGATTTATGGGATCCTGGGATGGGGTGGGATGGGATTGGGAGGGACACTTTGGGGTCCTGGTTCAACTTCCAGGCTGCTCTTCAGCACCCACTCCCTGTAGGGAGACAATTCCAGAGGGAATTCCCAATGGGAATTGTGGGCTGGAGTGGGATAATAATGGGAATTGGGATAGGGAGGGGATTTATGGGATCCTGGGATGGTGGGATGGGGTTGGGAGGGACACTTTGGGGTCCTGGTTCAACTTCCAGGCTGCTCTTCAGCACCCAATCCCTGCCAGGACACAATTCCAGAGGGAATTCCCAACGGGAATTGTGGGCTGGGTGGGATAAATGAGGTGGGATGGGACAAGGAGGGGATTTATGGGATGGTGGGATCATGGGATGGAGCCCAAAGCTCATCTGGGGCCACCAGCAGGCTGCTCTTCAGCACCCAATCCCTGCCAGGACACAATTCCAGAGGGAATTCCCAACGGGAATTGTGGGCTGGGTGGGATAAATGAGGTGGGACGGGACAGGGAAGGGATTTATGGGATCCTGGGATGGTGGGATGGACACTTTGGGGTCCTGGTTCAACTTGCAGGCTGCTCTTCAGCACCCAATCCCTGTGGGGGGACAATTCCAGAGGGAATTCCCAATGGGAATTGTGGGCTGGGTGGGATAAATGAGGTGGGATGGGACAAGGAAGGGATTTATGGGATCCTGGGATGGTGGGATGGGGTTGGGAGGGACCCCAAAGCTCATCTGGGTCCACCTGCAGATGCTCTTCAGCACCCAATCCCTGTAGGGAGACAATTCCAGAGGGAATTCCCAACGGGAATTGTGGGCTGGAGTGGGATAATAATGGGAATTGGGATAGGGAGGGGATTTATGGGATCCTGGGATGGTGGGATGGGTTGGGAAGGACCCCAATCCCAACCTCAGGCAATTCCCACATGGAATCAATCAGTGGGAATCGGGAAGGGCAGGGATTTGTGGGATTTGATGGATGGGTTGGGATGGGAATGATGGGATGGGATGGGATGGAATGATGGGATGGGATGGGAATGATGGGATGGGATGGAATGATGGAATGGGATGGGATGGGATGGAAAGGATGGGATGGGATGGGAATGATGGGAATGATGGAATGATGGGAATGATGGGATGGGATGATCCCTCTTTCCGTACCTTTGCTCGGTCAGGATCTCCAGGACGTTCTCAGCCAGCCAGATGTTTTTGGCTGTCACGTCCCCGCCTGGAAAAGCCACGGGATGGGGGGAGAGCTCTGGGATTTTGGGATCCTGGTGTATCCCAGTGTATCCCAGTGTATCCCAGTGTTACCCCGGTGTATCCCAGTGCGATCCCAGTGTATCCCAGTGCAATCCCAGTGTGATCCCAGTGTGATCCCAGTGTGATCCCAGTGTATCCCAGTGTGATCCCAGTGTATCCCAGTGTGATCCCAGTGTGATCCTGGTGTATCCCAGTGCAATCCTAGTGTATCCAGGTGCATTCCCAGTGTATCCCGGTGTACCCCAGTGTATCCCAGTGCGATCCCAGTGTATCCCAGTGTGATCCCAGTGTGATCCCAGTGGCTCCCAGTGGCCATCCCAGTAGCGTATCCTGTGTACTCCCAGTGTATCCCAGTGTATCCCGAGCATCCGGGTGCAATCCCAAACTCTCAGGTAATCCCAGTGCAATCCCAGTGTATCCAGGTGTGATCCTGGGTGTCCCAGTATCCAGTGCATTCCTGGTGTATCCCAGTGTATCCAGGTGTGATCCCAGTGTATCCCAGTGTATCCCAGTGTGATCCCAGTGTATCCCAGTGTATCCTAATGTATCCCAGTGCAATCCCATGTGTATCCCAGTGTATCTCTAGTGTATCCCAGTGCGACATCCCAGTGTGATCCCCAGTAGTATCCCAGTGTATCCCAGTCGTGATCCCAGTGTTCCTAGTGCTCCCAGTACCCCAGTGTATCCCAGTGTATCCCGGAGCATCCGGGTGCAATCCTGGTGTATCCCAGGGTAATCCCAGTGCAATCCCAGTGTATCCAGGTGTGATCCTGGTGTATCCCAGTGTATCCCAGTGCATTCCTGGTGTATCCCAGTGTATCCAGGTGTGATCCCAGTGTATCCCAGTGTATCCCAGTGTGATCCCAGTGTATCCCAGTGTATCCCAATGTATCCCAGTGCAATCCCAGTGTATCCCAGTGTTATCCCAGTGTATCCCAGTGCATCCCAGTGTGATCCCAGTGTATCCCAGTGTATCCCAGTGCGATCCCAGTGTATCCCAGTGTGATCCCAGTGTATCCCAGTGTATCCTGGTGTATCCCAGTGTATCCCAGTGCATTCCTGGTGTATCCCAGTGCATTCCCAGTGTATCCCAGTGTGATCCCAGTGTATCCCGATGCATCCAGGTGCAATCCTGGTGTATCCCAGGGTAATCCCAGTGCAATCCCAGTATATCCAGGTGCATTCCCAGTGTATCCCAGTGTATCCCGGTGTATCCCGGTGCATTCCCGGCATATCCAGGTGCATTCCCGGTGTATCCGGGTGCATTCCTGGTGCATTCCCGGTGTATCCGGGTGCATTCCCAGTGTATCCCAGTGTATCCAGGTGTGATCCCAATGCATTCCCGGTGCATTCCCGCTGTATCCCGGTGTATCCGGGTGCATTCCCGGTGTATCCGGGTGCATTCCCGGTGTATCCCAGTGTATCCCGGTGCATTCCCGGTGTATCCCAGTGTATCCTGGTGTATCCGGGTGCATTCCCGGTGTATCCCAGTGTATCCCGGTGCATTCCCGGTGTATCCCAGTGTATCCCGGTGTATCCCGGTGCATTCCCAGCATATCTGGGTGCATTCCCGGTGTATCCCAGTGTATCCTGGTGTATCCGGGTGCATTCCCGGTGCCTCACCCGCGATCTGCTTCATGAAGGTCATGCAGACCCCGTCGGCTCCCAACACTCCGCTCTTCACCAGCTCCCGGAGCAGCCACACCAGCTGGAATGGGGGATTTGGGATCAGATCCAGGCAGGGATTTGGGATCAGAGCAGGCAGGGATTTGGGATTGGATCCAGGCAGGGATTTGGGATTGGATCCAGGCAGGGATTTGGGATTGGATCCAGGCAGGGATTTGGGATCAGAGCAGGCAGGGATTCGGGATTGGATCCAGGCAGGGATTTGGGATTGGATCCAGGCAGGGATTTGGGATCAGATCCAGGCAGGGATTTGGGATCAGAGCAGGCAGGGATTCGGATTGATCCAGGCAGGGATTTGGGATTGGATCCAGGCAGGGATTTGGGATTGGATCCAGGCAGGGATTTGGGATCAGATCCAGGCAGGGATTTGGGATCAGAGCAGGCAGGGATTTGGGATTGGATCCAGGCAGGGATTTGGGATCAGAGCAGGCAGGGATTTGGGATTGGATCCAGCAGGGGTTTGGGATTGGATCCAGGCAGGGATTTGGGATTGGATCCAGGCAGGGATTTGGGATCAGAGCAGGCAGGGATTTGGGATCAGATCCAGGCAGGGATTTGGGATCAGAGCAGGCAGGGATTCGGGATCAGAGCAAGAATGGGGGATTTGGGATTGGATCCAGGCAGGGATTCGGGATCAGATCCAGGCAGGGATTTGGGATCAGATCCAGGCAGGGATTTGGGATCAGAGCAGGCAGGGATTTGGGATTGGATCCAGGCAGGGATTGGGATCAGATCAGGCAGGATTTGGGATCAGATCCAGGCAGGGATTGGGATTGGATCCAGGCAGGGGATTTGGGATCAGACGCAGGTAGGGATTTGGGATCAGATCCAGGCAGGGATTTGGGATCAGAGCCAGCAGGGATTTGGGATTGGATCCAGGCAGGGATTTGGGATCAGATCCAGGCAGGGATTTGGGATCAGATCCAGGCAGGGATTTGGGATTGGATCCAGGCAGGGATTTGGGATCAGAGCAGGTAGGGATTTGGGATTGGATCCAGGATTTGGGATTGGATCCAGGCAGGGATTTGGGATCAGATCCAGGCAGGGATTTGGGATCAGAGTCGAGCCAGGATTCAGGATTGGATCCAGCAGGGATTTGGGATTGGATCCAGACAGCGATTTGGGATTGGATCCAGGCAGGGATTCAGGATCAGCCCCTCCATTCCCCCCCCCTCACCCCAAAATTCCCATTCCCAAGGGTGCCCCCAACTCCCACAGCCATTCCCAGCCCCATTCCCCAATTCCCTGAGGAGAAGATTCCCGTTTTTCCCTGACCTGTGTCCGACAGGTGTCCTGCAGCTTTGGATACTTCTCCATCAGGATGTGGTTGATCTTGTTGAGCACGATGTTCATCCCATCCCGGCTCACCAGGGCCAGGTCCCGGTAGCACTGCGGGAAAAGGGCAGGGAAAGTGGGAATAAAACACTGGAAAAGGAGGGGGGGATGGGAAAAACCAGGCTGGAAAAGGGGGGGGGAGTGGGAAAAAATAGGCTGGAAAAGGAGGGGGGGGAATGGGAAAATCCAGCATGGAAAAGCAGGGGGAGAGTGGGGAAAAAAGGCTGGAAAAAGGGGGAGGGCAACCAGCCTCGAAAAGGTGGGAATGGGAAACAAAGGCTGGAAAGGGCAGGGACAAATGGGAAAAATAGTCTGAAAAGGGGGAAAACAGGGGAAAATCATCATGGAGAAGGCCATGGAAAATGGTTACAGAAAAAGGGAAGAACCAACCTGGGAAAAGGCGTGGAAAAGGGCAGGGAAAATGGGAAAAAATAGTCTGGAAAAGGGGGGGGAAAACAGGGAAAATCATCATGGAGAAGGTCATGGAAAATGGTTACAGAAAAAAGGGAAAACCAACCTGGAAAAGGGGGTGGAAAATGGGAAAAGAAGTCTGGAAAAGGGGGGGGGAAATGGGAAAAAATAGGCTGGAAAAGGGGGGAGAATGGGAAAAATAGGCTGGAAAAGGGGGGAAATGGGAAAAAAAGGCTGGAAAAGGGCATGGAAAACAGGGGAAAAAAGTCTGGAAAAGGGTGTGGAGAATGGGAAAAAATAGTCTGGAAAATGGGGGGGGAGTGGGAAAAAAAGGTTGGAAAAGGGGGAATGGGAAAAAGGCTGGAAAAGGTGGGGGAGAATGGGAAAAAAGGCTGGAAAAGGGGGGGGAAACAAGGGGAAAGAGCCTGGAAAAGGGGATGGAGAATGGGAAAAATAGTCTGGAAAAGGGGGGGGGGAAATGGGAAAAAAAGTCTGGAAAAGGGGGTGGAGAATGGGAAAATCAGCATGGAAAAGGGGGGGGAAAATGGGAAAAAACAGACTGGAAAAGGATGGAGAAAACAGGGGAAAACCAGCCTGGAAAAGGGGGGGGAGAAGGGGAAAAAAGTCTGGAAAAGAGGGGGGGAAATGGGGAAAAATAGGCTGGAATGGGGGAAATGGGGAAAATAGGCTGGAATGGGGGGAGAAATGGGAAAAAAAGGCTGGAAAAGGGGGTGGAAAATGGGAAAAAAAGTCTGGAAAAGAGGGGGGGAAATGGGGAAAAAAGTCTGGAAAAGGGCATGGAAAACAGGGAAAACCATCATGGAGAAGGTCATGGAAATGGTGACAGGAAAAAGGGAAAACCAGCCTGGAAAAGGGGGTGGAAAATGGGAAAAAAAGGCTGGAAAAGGGGGGGGGAGAATGGGGAAAAAAGGTTGGAAAAGGGGGTGGGGAAATGGGAAAAATAGGCTGGAAAAGGGGGGGGAAATGGGAAAATCCAGCATGGAAAATGGGGTGGAAAATGGGAAAAACTCTCCCCCCATTCCCAAGGGAATTCCCCCCTTTTCTCACATCCCCTCCAATCTGGGGGAAAAAAAACCCAAAAAAACCAGGAATAAACCCATCCAGCACCCCCAGAATTCCCAGGAAAACCAAAAAAAAACCAGGAATAAACCCATCCAGCACCCCCAGAATTCCCAGGAAAACCAAACTTTAAAAAAAACCCAGGATCCTGAAAAATGGGGGAATTTTGGGGCTGTTTGTGTTGATTTAAGGGATTTTTTTTTTTCCAAAAATTAAATTGGGAAATTAAATTGGGAAAAAAATTAAACCCCAGGAATAAAACCCCCCTGGCAGAGGGAAAATTCCCACCAGGAATGAGGGGGGAGAGCCAGAATTCCGGGATTTCTGCCGGGCTGGCACAATCCAGAGGCTCCTCCTGCCCTGGGAGGGGTGTTTTAATTAACAACAAAATTTAATTAACAACAAAAAGTGATTAATGAGTTTTTAAATGAAGGGAAAGGGAAGGAAAACAAACCTGGAATTTTTGGGAGGAGGGGAAAGGAGTTTGGGATCATCCCAGGGAGGCTCCTGGGAAGATTTTTGGGGTCTCTGAGAAGATTTTTGGGGTCCCTGTGAGGATTTTTGGGGTCTCTGTGAGGATTTTTGGGGTCCCTGTGAAGATTTTTGGGGTCCCTGTGAAGATTTTTGGGGTCTCTGAGCAGATTTTTGGGGTCCCTGTGAAGATTTTTGGGGTCTCTGTGAAGATTTTTGGGGTCTCTGAGCAGATTTTTGGGGTCTCTGTGAAGATTTTTGGGGTCCCTGTGAAGATTTTTGGGGTCCCTGAGCAGATTTTTGGGATCTCTGAGCAGATTTTGGGATCTCTGAGAAGATTTTTGGGGTCCCTGAGAAGATTTTTGGGTCTCTGAGAAGATTTTTGGGGTCCCTGTGAAGATTTGGGGGGAGGGTTGAGGTTTTTTGGGGGTCTCTGAGCAGATTTTTGGGATCTCAGAGCACATTTTTGGGGTCCCTGAGAAGATTTTTGGGGTCCCTGAGCAGATTTTTGGGATCTCTGAGCAGATTTTTGGGATCTCTGAGCAGATTTTGGGGTCCCTGTGAGGATTTTTGGGGTCCCTGTGAAGATTTTTGGGGTCTCTGAGCAGATTTTTGGGGTCCCTGTGAAGGTTTTGGGGTCTCTGAGCAGATTTTTGGGGTCCCTGTGAAGATTTTTGGGGTCTCTGTGAAGATTTTTGGGGTCTCTGAGCAGATTTTTGGGGTCTCTGAGCAGATTTTTGGGGTCTCTGTGAAGATTTTTGGGGTCTCTGTGAAGATTTTTGGGGTCCCTGTGAAGATTTTGGGGTCTCTGAGCTGATTTTTGGGGTCCCTGAGGAGATTTTTGGGGTCCCTGTGAAGATTTTTGGGGTCCCTAAGCAGATTTTGGGATCTCTGAGCAGATTTTTGGGGTCCCTGAGCAGATTTTTGGGTTCTCAGAGCAGATTTTTGGGGTCCCTGAGAAGATTTTTGGGGTCCCTGAGCAGATTTTTGGGATCTCTGAGCAGATTTTTGGGATCTCTGAGCAGATTTTTGGGATCCCTGAGCAGATTTTTGGGATCTCTGAGCAGATTTTTGGGATCTCTAAGCAGATTTTTGGGATCTTTTTCCAGAGGGATCCCTTTTTCCAAAGGGAAATCCATGGAAAAAAAAAAGGAATGAGCCAGGAAAGTTTTCCCAGCTGGATTTGCTGCCCCTGGAGCCATTCCCAAGGTTTATTCCATGCTCTTTTATCCATGGAAAACAAACCTGATCCCCACAAATCCAGGCCTGAAGATTTTCCCCCTCCCTGGGAAAAGCAGGTTGTGCTTCCAGGAGGGAATTCCAGAGGCTTGGAATGAGGGGGTTGATTCCCAATCCAATCCAGGATCTGCTGGAATGGGGAGCTCTGGGAAATCCCATTTTTTTTCCTCTGGGAATGGTGATGATTCCCCAAGAAATTAAAAATACACACAAAAAAAAGAAAGAAAAACAACATTCCAAGTCTCCCAAATCCAAGGAAAAAAAAACCCAAAAAAAAATGGGAAAGGGGGTGGGAATTCCTTGAAAATTTGGGGATTTTCCCTGTGGAAAATCCAAGGAATTCCCAGGATGGGAAGGAGCCTGAGCTGCTTTTCCCACAGCTCCACACCCGGAACGTTCCCAACCCCCAGGTCTGGAATTTTCCCCTCTGGAGTTTTTCCAGCAGGGAATTCCAGGCAGGAAAACCCCCCAGGATGGGGAATGGGGGTGAATTCCCGGTGTTTTTTCCCGGGATTCCTCACCTTCTGTGCCTGGGAGGGCTCTGTCAGCACCAGGGTGAAGAGCCCCAGGCAAATCTCCTCGTGCTGGGGGGTCCCCTTGCAGATCTGGGGGAGACAGGGGGGGGTTCCAGGGGATCCAGGGGACACCAGGGAATGCTCCCTATTCCCACTTTCCTATTCCCAGTTCCCACTCCCTATTCCCTGTTCCCACTTTCCTCTTCCCTATTCCCAGTTCCCCTTCCCTATTCCCTGTTCCCACTTCCCTCTTCCTCTTCCCTGTTCCCAATTCCCTCTTTCTCTTCCCTATTCCCTGTTCCCAGTTACCATTTCCCTGTTCCCACTTCCCTGTTCCCACTTCCCTATTCCCTGTTCCCACTTCCCTCTTCCTCTTCCCTGTTCCCTATTCCCAGTTCCCACTCCCTATTCCCTGCTCCCACTTCCCTGTTCCTCTTCTCTATTCCCAGTTCCCCTTCCCTATTCCCACTTTCCTATTCCCTGTTCCCAGTTCCCTATTCCTCTTCCCTATTCCCACTCCCCTCTTCCCAGTTCCCTGTTCTTCTTCCCTGTTCCCAGTTCCCTGTTCCCACTTCCCTATTCCCTCTTCCCTGTTCCTATTCCCTATTCCCAGTTCCTTGTTCCCAGTTCCCACACATCTTCCCTATTCCCTATTCCCAGTTCCTTGTTCCCAGTTCCCACACATCTTCCCTATTCCCTATTCCCTCTTCCCACTTCCCTCTTCCTCTTCCCTGTTCCCACTTCCCCTTCCAGGGGGGGTTCCAGGGGATCCAAGGGACACCAGGGAATGTTCCCTATTCCCACTTCCCTATTCCTCTTCCCTATTCCTCTTCCCTCTTCCCACTCCCTATTCCCTATTCCCTGTTCCCTATTCCCACTTCCCTCTTCCCACTCCCTATTCCCTGTTCCCACATCTGTTCCCACTTCACTGTTCCCATTTCCCTGTTCCTCTTCCCTGTTCCCAGATCCCCTTCCCTATTCCCAGTTCCCAGTTCCCACACCTGTTCCCAGATGCCACTTCCCTGTTCCCAGATCCCTGTTCCTCTTCCCTATTCCCTATTCCCAGTTCACTGTTCCTTGCTCCCAGTTCCCTATTCCCACATCCCAACACCTCTTCCCAGTTCCCTGTTCCCACTTCCCTGTTCTTCTTCCCTATTCCCAGTTCTTTGCTCCCCATTCCCTATTCCCACATCCCACACCTCTTCTCAGTTCCCAGTTCCCTGTTCCTCTTCCCTCTTCCCTATTCCCAGTTCCCAGTTCCCTGTTCCTCTTCCCTCTTCCCTATTCCCTGTTCCCACTTCCCTATTTCTCTTCCCTGTTCTTCTTCCCTCTTCCCAGTTCCCACCCCTGTTCCCAGTTCCCACTTCCCTGTTCTTCTTCTCTGTTCCCACATCCCACACCTCTTCCCTGCTCCCACTTCCCTGTTCCCACCCCATCCCCCCATTCCCACATTCCCATTCCCACATCCCCCCATTCCCACCCCATTCCCACCCCATTCCCACATCCCCCATTCCCCCCATTCCCCCATTCCCACCCCATTCCCACATTCCCACATTCCCATTCCCATCCCCATTCCCATTCCCCATTCCCCATTCCCATTCCCCCATCCCCACATTCCCATCCCATTCCCATTCCCATCCCATTCCCACCCCATTCCCCATTCCCATCCCCATTCCCACATTCCCACATTCCCATTCCCATTCCCATTCCCATCCCATTCCCATTCCCACATCCCCATTCCCCATTCCCATCCCATTCCCCCATTCCCATTCCCATTCCCCCATTCCCATTCCCACATCCCCATTCCCCCATTCCCATTCCCCCATTCCCACATTCTCATTCCCCCATTCCCATTCCCATTCCCACATCCCCATTCCCACATCCCCATTCCCCCATTCCCACATTCCCATTCCCACATTCCCATTCCCCCATTCCCACATTCCCATTCCCCCATTCCCATCCCCCATTCCCCCATTCCCATCCCCACATTCCCATTCCCCCCATTCCCCCATTCCCATTCCCACATTCCCATCCCATTCCATTCCCATTCCCCCATCCCCCCATTCCCACATTCCCATTCCCATCCCCATTCCCCTTCCCATCCCCATTCCCCCATTCCCATTCCCATCCCCATTCCCACATTCCCATTCCCATTTCCATCCCATTCCCATTCCCATCTCATTCCCATTCCCATTTCCATCCCATTCCCATTCCCACATTCCCATTCCCATTTCCATCCCATTCCCATTCCCATTCCCATTCCCATTCCCACATTCCCACATTCCCATTCCCATTTCCATCCCATTCCCATTCCCATCTCATTCCCATTCCCATTTCCATCCCATTCCCATTCCCACATTCCCATTCCCATTCCCATTCCCACATTCCCCCATTCCCATTCCCCCATTCCCATTCCCACATTCCCATCCCCACATTCCCACATTCCCATTCCCACATTCCCATTCCCACATTCCCATTCCCATTCCCACATTCCCATTCCCACTCATCTCACGTGTGCATTGAGGGCATCGTTGGCCTCCCTGTCCGAGAGGCCGCAGGTGAGGGAGGTGACGATCCCAACACAGCGCTCCAGCCTCTGGAAAACAGGGAATGACACCAGGATGGGAATCCTGGGAACATCCCTGGATCCTGGGAACGTCCCTAAACCCCCTGGAACAGCTCCCAGGGAGATCCCAAACCATCCCAGTGGGAATTCACGATCCCAACACAGCGCTCCAGCCTCTGGAAAACAGGGGATTAAAACATGGATTAACAAAATTAAACCAGGATGGGAAACTGGGAACATCCCTGGATCCTGGGAATGACCCTGAACCCATCCCCATCCCCCTGGAACAGCTCCCAGGGAGATCCCAAACCATCCCAGTGGGAATTCACGATCCCAACACAGCGCTCCAGCCTCTGGAAAACAGGGAATTAAACCAGGATGGGAAACTGGGAACATCCCTGGATCCTGGGAATGACCCTAAATCCATTCCCAACCCCCTGGAACAGCTCCCAGGGAGATCCCAAACCATCCCAGTGGGAATTCACGATCCCAACACAGCGCTCCAGCCTCTGGAAAACAGGGATTAAAACATGGATTAACAAAATTAAACCAGGATGGGAACCCTGGGAACATCCCTGAATCCTGGGAATGACCCTCAGCCCCTTCCCAACCCCCTGGAACAGCTCCCAGAGAGATCCCAAACCATCCCAGTGGGAATTCACAATCCCAACACAGCGCTCCAGCCTCTGGAAAACAGGGAATTAAAACATGGATTAACAAAATTAAACCAGGATGGGAATCCTGGAAACATCCCTGGATCCTGGGAATGACCCTAAATCCATCCCCAAACCCCCTGGAACAGCTCCCAGGGAGATCCCAAACCATCCCACTGGGAATTCTGGACCCCCACACAGCGCTCCAGCCTCTGGAAAACAGGGAATGACACCAGGATGGGAATCCTGGGAACATCCCTGGATCCTGGGAATGACCCTGAACCCATTCCCAACCCCCGTGGAACAGCTCCCAGGGAGATCCCAAACCATCCCAGTGGGAATTCTGGGAATTTGGAGCCTCAATAACGAGGATCAGGAGCATTCCCAGATCCTGGGAATGTTCCCACCTCCCCTCTGGAATCTCAGGGAGACCCCAAACCATCCCAGGAGGAAAATCCCACTGGGAATTCCAGGAATTCTGAGCCTCAATAATGTGGATCAGGAGCATTCCCAGATCCTGGAAAACTCTGGGAGCCCCTTCCCATCCTCCCCTCTGGAATCTCCCAGTTCCCCAAGAGACCCCAAATCATCCCAGGAGGAAAATCCCTCTGGGAATTCCAGGATTCAGAGCCTCAATAACGAGGATCAGGAGCATTCCCAGATCCTGGGAATGACCCTGAACCCATCCCAACCCCCCTGGAACAGCTCCCAGGGAGATCCCAAACCATCCCAGTGGGAATTCTGGGAATTCAGAGCCTGAATAACGAGGATCAGGAGCATTCCCAGATCCTGGAAAGCTCTGGGAGACCATTCCCAACTCCTGGAACAGCTCCCAGGAAGGTCCCAGGAAAATCCCACTGGGAATTCCAGGGAATTTGGAGCCTCAATAACGAGGATCAGGAGCATTCCCAAATCTTGGGAATGACCCTGAATCCATTCCCAACCCCCTGGAACAGCTCCCAGGGGGATCCCAAACCATCCCAGTGGGAATTCTGGGAATTCTGAGCCTCAATAAGGAGGATCAGGAGCATTCCCAGATCCTGGAAAACTCTGGAAGCCCCTTCCCATACTCCCCTCTGGAATCTCCCAGTTCCCAGGGAGACCCCAAATCATCCCAGGAGGAAAATCCCACTGGGAATTCCAGGATTCAGAGCCTCAATAACGAGGATCAGGAGCATTCCCAGATCCTGGAAAACTCTGGGATCATTCCAGAGGCAAAAGACGCCCCAAATTCCCCCAAATCCCCCCAAAAATCCCCTCAAAATCCCCCCAAAATCCCCTCAATTCCCCCCAAAATTCCCCAAAATCCCCCCAAATTCCCCTCAAATCCCCCCCAAAATCCCCCCAAATTCCTTAAAATCCCCACAAAATCCCTAAAATCCCCCCCAAATCCCCTCAAATCCCCCAAAATCTCCCCCAAAATCTCCTCAAATCCCCCAAATTCCCCTCAAATCCCCTCAAAATTCCCTCAAAATCCCCTCAAATCCCCACAAAATTCCCCCAAAATCCTATCAAATTCCCTCAAATCCCCTCAAATCCCCCAAATTACCCCTAAAATCCCCAAATCCCCAAAATCCCCCAGGTCTCAAGATCCCCAGTCCTCAAAATCCCCCAAGTCCTCAAATCACAGGTTCCCAAGTCCTCAGATTCCTCAGATCCAAAGTCCCCCAAAATCCCAACTCTCAAATCCTCCAAATCCTATTCCCCAAGATCCCAATCCTCAAATCCCCAGTCCTCAAAATTCCCAGTCAAAATTCCCAAAATCCTCAGTCCCAAAATCCCCAAAGTCCCCAAGTCCCAAGGTTCCTGGAATCCTCAAGTCCCCCAAATTCCCTCAAATCCCCTCCAAAATTCCCTCAAGATCCCTCAAATCCCCCCAAAATTCCCTCAAAATCCCCTCAAATCCCCCCAAAATTCCCCAAAATCCTCAAATCCCCTCAAATCCCCTCAAAATTCCCAAAAATTCCCAAAAATCCCCCAAAATTCCCTAAAATCCCCTCAAATCCCCCCCAAATCCCCTCAAATTCCCTAAAATCCCCCCAAAATTTCCCTAAAATCCCCTCAAATCCCCCAAAATTCCCCCAAATTCCCCTCAAAATTCCCTCAAAATCCCCTCAAATCCCCCAAATTCCTCAAATCCCCCAAAATTCCTCAAAATCCCTCAAATCCCCAAATTCCCAAATCCTAAAATTCCTCTCAAATCCCCTCAAATCCCCTCAAATTCCCCTCAAATCCCCTCAAATCCCCTCAAATCCCCCTCAAATCCCCCAAAATTCCCTAAAATCCCCCCAAATTCCCAAAAATTCCCAAAAATCCCCTCACCTCCTCCAGCTCATCCTTGGAATCCAGCAGTGACGTCACCAGGAGCTTCCCAGCTCCCGCTTTTCCCTTGGGAAGCTCCATTTGGGGGGGGGTTGGGGGGTCTTTAGGGGTTTGGGGTCCTGGGGTTTTGGGGGCCTGGGTGGGTTTTGGGGGGTCTTTAGGGGTTTTGAGGGGAGAAAGAATTTTGGGGGTCCTGGAGTGGGTTTGGGGGGTCCTGGGGAGGTTTGGGGGTTTTTAGGGGATTTTGGGGTCCTGAAGGGGGAAGAATTTTGGGGGTCCTGGGGGTCTTTAGGGGTTTTGGGGGAGAAAGAATTTTGGGGGGTCTTGGGGGTCCTGAGCGCTGGGGGATTTTTGGGGGCTTGAAGAGTTTTGGGGGTCTTTAGGGGTTTTTGGGGAGAAAGAATTTTGGGGGTCTTTAGGGGTTTTGGGGGTCCTGGGGAGTTTTGGGGGTCCTGAAGGGGAAAAAGAATTTTGGGAGGCTTTTAGGGGGTTTTTGGGGGCAGAGAGAATTTTGGGGGGTCCTGGGGTTTTGGGGGTCCTGAGAGGAGGGGGAAGAATTTTGGGGGTTTTTAGGGGGTTTTGGGGGAAAAGAATTTTAGGGGGTCTTTAGGGGTTTTGGGGGTCCTAGGTGAGTTTTGGGGGTCTTTAGGGGTTTAGGGGTTTTGGGGGTCCTGAAGGGGAGAAAGAATTCTTGGGGGTCTTTAGGGAGTTTTGGGGGTCCTGGGGGATTTTGGGGGTCCCTGAGCTCTGAGGGGGTTGAGTTTTGGGGGGGTCCTGAGCTTTAAGGGGGATTTTTGGGGGTCCTGAGGGGAGGGGGAAGAATTTTGGGGGTCCGGGGGTTTTTTGGGGGTCCTGAGCTCTGAGGAGGGGCTGAGCTTTTTTTGGGGGGTCTCTTAAGGGGGTTTGGGGGTCCTGAGCTCTGAGGGGTGATTTTTGGGGGGTTTGAGCTTTTAGGGGGTCTTTGGGGGGTCCTGAGCTCTGAGTGGGGAATTTTGGGGGTCTCTGAGGGGATTTTTTGGGGGGTCCTGAGCTCAGGGGCCCTCCGGGAGCGCTCTGGGGTGCGGAGGGACCCTCGGGGTTGAGGGAGGGGTCCTGGATTGGGGGTCCTGGGTGGGGGCTCTGGGTTTGGGGGTCCTGGATTGGGGGGCTCCTCCTCACGGATCCGGGGGCAGGGCCGACTCGCGGTGGCCCCGGAGGTGTCCGGGGGTGTCCTGGAGGTCCTGGAGGGTCCTGGAGGGTCCTGGGGTCCTGGGGTCCCGGGGTCGCTCCGGGCCGGGGGCGGCGGCGAAACCCGGAAGTTACCGGAGAGGGGACGGTGAGGCCTGACCGGAAGCGGAAGCGAGGGAGAGAGAGAGAGGGGAAAGTCCCGCCCTCCCTTCCCGGAATCAACCAATGGGAGGGCGGGGGAGGGCCGTGAGTGACAGGGAGGGAGGGAGGCGGGGCTTGGAGGGTAGGGTGGCCAATGGGGAGGAGGGGGCGGGGCTTGGGAGGGGAGGCCACGCCCACCTGCGGGAGAGGGGAATCCCCAGGAATCCCCGAGACCCCCGGGACTCCCCAGGACCTCCCCAGAAACCCCCTGAGATCCCTGGAACCCCTGGAACCCCCTGAGACACCCGGGACTCCCCTGGACTCCCATGGGAACCCCCTGAGATCCCCCGGACCCTCCTGGGAGCCCTAGGAACCCCTGGGACCCCGGAGATTCCCAAAGACCTCCTCAAGACCCCCTTAAGACCCTCAAAGACTCCCCAGAGACCTCCCCGAGACCCCTCGAGATCCCCCTCGAGACCCCCAAAGACCCCCCTGAGACCCCCTGAGACCCCCAAAGACCCCCAAAGACCCCCTGAGACCCCCGAGACTCCCCTGGGGACCCTCTCGAGACCCCAAAGACCTCCTGAGACCCCTGAGATCCTCAAAGACCCCCCGAGACCCCAAAGACCCCTGAGACTCCCCCTGAGACTCCCTGAGACCCCCAAAGACTCCCCAGAGATCCCCCGAGACCCCCAAAGACCCCCAAACCCCCCTGGCGATCCCCGAGACCCCAAGACCCCCAAGACCCTCAAAGACCCCCTGGCGAACCCCGAGACCCCAAAGACCCCTGAGACTCCCCAAAGACCCCTCAAGAACCCCCAAGACCCCTCAAAGACCCCCAGAGACCCCAAAGACCACCCTGAGACCCCCAAAGACCCCCCAGAGACGCTCCCAAGACCACAAAGACTCCCCCAGAAACCCCCCAGGACCCCCAAAGACCCCCAAGACCCCAAAGACCCCAAAACCCCCTGAACCCCCACTGAGATCCCCTGAGACGCCCAAAGATCCCCCCCAAAGACCCCCTGGCGACCCCCTGAGACCCTCAAAGACCCCCAGAACCTCCCCGAGACCCTCAAAGACCCCCAAGACCTCCCAAAGACCCCCAAAGATCCCCAGAGCACGTCCTCCACAACATCTTTATTTTACAAAAATCACAACTCTCGGGGAGACTCCCAAAACCCCTAAATCCCCCCAAACCCCCAACACCCCCAAATCTCCCAAACCCCAAAACCCCCAAAAACCCAAAGTCCCCTCTCAAAAACTCCCAAAACCCCCCAAAGTCCCCCCAAAACCCCCCCAAAAACCCCAAAAGGGATCTACTGATGATTTTGGGGGTCTGCTGATGATTTTTGGGGTCCAATGATGATTTTGGGGTCTGATGATGATTTTGGGGTCTGCTGGTGATTTTTGGGGTCCACTGATGATTTTTGGGGTCCGCTGATGATTTTTGGGGTCCAATGATGATTTTTGGGGTCCAGTGATGATTTTGGGGTCCGTTGATGATTTTTGGGGTCTGATGATGATTTTTGGGGTCCTGTGATGATTTTTGGGGTCTGCTGATGATTTTGGGGTCCGGTGATGATTTTTGGGGTCCGCTGATGATTTTTGGGGTCCGTTGATGATTTTTGGGGTCACTGATGATTTTGGGGTCCGGTGATGATTTTTGGGGTCCGCTGATGATTTTTGGGGTCCGCTGATGATTTTTGGGGTCCAATGATGATTTTTGGGGTCTGCTGATGATTTTGGGGTCCGTTGATGATTTTTGGGGTCTGTTGATGATTTTTGGGGGGTCTGGTGATGATTTTGGGGTCCACTGATGATTTTTGGGGTCCGTTGATGATTTTTGGGGTCTGGTGATGATTTTGGGGGTCCTGTGATGATTTTTGGGGGTCCATTGATGTTTTTGGGGTGCACTGATGATTTTTGGGGTCCGCTGATGATTTTTGGGGTCCTTTGGTGATTTTTGGGGTCCGCTGATGATTTTTGGGGTCCGCTGGTGATTTTTGGGGTCCATTGATGATTTTGGGGTCAGCTGGTGATTTTTGGGGGGTCCAGTGATGATTTTGGGGTCCTGTGACGATTTCTGGGGTCCGGTGATGATTTTGGGGTCCGCTGATGATTTTTGGGGGTCTGCTGATGATTTTTGGGGTCCGCTGGTAATTTTGGGGTCCGTTGATGATTTTGGGGTCTGATGATGATTTTTGGGGTCCAGTGATGATTTTGGGGTCTGCTGATGATTTTTGGGGTCCGCTGGTGATTTTTGGCGTCCTGTGACGATTTCTGGGGTCCGGTGATGATTTTTGGGGTCCGCTGATGATTTTTGGGGTCCACTGATGATTTTGGGGTCCGCTGATGATTTTTGGGGTCTGCTGGTGATTTTGGGGTCTGATGATGATTTTTGGGTCTGCTGATGATTTTGGGGTCCGCTGATGATTTTTGGGGTCTGGTGATGATTTTTGGGGTCCTGTGATGATTTTGGGGGTCCTTTGGTTATTATTGGGGTCCGCTGATGATTTTTGGGGTCCGCTGATGATTTTGGGGGTCCAATGATGATTTTTGGGGGTCTGCTGATGATTTTTGGGGTCTGCTGATGATTTTTGGTATCCGCTGATGATTTTTGGGGTCTGCTGATGATTTTGGGGTCCTCTGATGATTTTTGGGGTCCGCTGATGATTTTGGGGTCCTGTGATGATTCTTGGGGTCCACTGATGATTTTTGGGGTCCAGTGATGATTTTGGGGTCTGCTGATGTTTTTTCGGATCTGCTGATGATTTTTGGGGTCTGCTGATGATTTTGGGGTCCAGTGATGATTTTTGGGGTCCGTTGATGATTTTTGGGGTCCGCTGGTGATTTTTGGGGTCCGCTGATGATTTTTGGGGTGCAGGGGGGGTGTTTTTTGGGGGGGGGTCACCCCCTCGTGCTGTTCCCACGCTCCCCCAAGAGCCAGTAGGTCCTGACCTTGCCCTTGCCCTGGGGAACAGGGGGCTTTTAGGGGAGACCCCAAATTTGAGCTCTGGGGTGACCCCAAATTTGGGGTGAAAGGAATAAGGGGAGGTTTTAGGGGAGACCCCAAATTTGGGGTCTGGGGTGACCCCAAATTTGGGGTGAAAAGAAAAAGGGGGTTTTAAGAGAGACCCCAAATTTGGGGTGCAAGGAAAGGGAGGGGGTTTTAGGGGAGACTCCAAATTTGGGGTCTGGGGTGGCCCCAAATTTGGGGTGCAAGGAAAAAGGGAGGGGGTTTATGGGGGTGACCCCAAATTTGGGAGTGCAAGGAGGGGTTTTAGGGGATTGCCCCGATTTTGGGGTTTGGGTCTGGGGGGTGTCCATTGTGGGGGGCTCTGGGGTGGTTTTTGGGGGTCAGGGCTGTTTTGTGGGGTCAGATCTGTTTTGGGGTGTCAGATCTGTTCTGGGAGGTCAGATCTGTTTTTTGGGGGTCAGGTCTATTTTAGGGGGTCAGGGCAGTTTTGGGGTGTCAGGGCAGTTTTGGGGGTCAGGGCAGTTTTGGGGGTCAGGTCTATTTTAGGGAGTCAGGTCTGTTTTTGGGGGTCAGGTCTGTTTTGGGGGGAGTTCAGGTCTATTTTAGGGGGCTCAGGGCAGTTTTGTGGGGTCAGATCTCTTTTGGGGGGGTCAGATCTGTTTTTGGGGGGGGTCAGTTCTATTTTAGGGGGGGTCAGGGCTGTTTTGGGGGTTCAGGGCAGTTTGGGGTGGTCAGAGCAGTTTTGGGGGTCAGGACTGTTTGGGGGGTCAGATCTGTTTTGGGGGTCAGGTCTATTTTGGGAGTCAGGACAGTTTTGGGGGGTCAGGTCTGTTTTTGGGGGGGTCAGAGCAGTTTGGGGGTGTCAGATCTGGTTTTTGGGGGTCAGGTTTATTTTAGAGGGGGGAGGGGTCGGGTCTCACCTTCATCTCCACGTCCCCCCTGAGCTCCAGCTCGAAGCACCCGAATTCCTCCAGCACCGCTTTGGTCACCCCCGAGATGTGGATCTTGAGGGCTTGGGGGGGGGAGGGGAGGGACCCTCAGCACCCCAGGGTGCCCCTCGGTGTCCCCTGAGCCCCTCCTGGTGTCCCCTAACCCCCCAGGTGTCCCCAGGTGTCCCCCCAGGTGTCCCCAAACCCCTCAGGTGTCCCCAAACCCCTCAGGTGTCCCCAAGCCCCCCCAGGTGTCCCCTGACCCCCTGGTGTCTCCCAGGTGTCCTCCAACCCCCTGGTGTCCCCAGCCCCCCAGGTGTCCCCAGCCCCCAGGTGTCCCCAAACCCCTCCTGGTGTCCTCCTGACTCCCCAGGTGTCCCCAGGTGTCCCCTGACCCCCAGGTGTCCCCAGGTGTCCCCAGGTGTCCCCACCTTCCCCGTGTGCCTCCATTCGTGCCCGTGGTGTTGACGGTGTCCCCCAGCCCCCAGGTGTCCCCTGACCCCCAGGTGTCCCCCAGGTGTCTCCAACCCCCTGACCCCCAGGTGTCCCCAGGTGTCCCCTGACCCCCAGGTGTCCCCAAACCCCCAGGTGTCCCCAGGTGTCCCCAGATGTCCCCTGATCCCCCTGGTGTCCCCCTGGTGTCCCCAACCCCCAGGTGTCCCCAGGTGTCCCCAGATGTCCCCTGACCCCCCAGGTGTCCCCCAGGTGTCCCCTGACCCCCAGGTGTCCCCAGATGTCCCCTGACCCCCAGGTGTCCCCAGGTGTCCCCTGACCCCCAGGTGTCCCCAGATGTCCCCTGACCCCCAGGTGTCTCCAGGTGTCCCCAGCCCCCTGGTGTCCTCAAACCCCCAGGTGTCTCCAGGTGTCCCCAGCCCCTGGTGTCCCCAGGTGTCCCCAGGTGTCCCCACCTTCCCCGTGTGCCTCCATTCGTGCCGCGGTGTTGACGGTGTCCCCCTGGTGTCCCCTGACCCCCAGGTGTCCCCAAACCCCCAGGTGTCCCCAGGTGTCCCCTGACCCCTCCAGGTGTCCCCAAACCCCCTGACCCCCAGGTGTCCCCAGGTGTCCCCTGACCCCCAGGTGTCCCCAAACCCCCAGGTGTCCCCAGGTGTCCCCTGACCCCTCCAGGTGTCCCCAAACCCCCTGACCCCCAGGTGTCCCCAGGTGTCCCCACCTTCCCCGTGTGCCTCCATTCATGCCACGGTGTTGACGGTGTCCCCCCAGCCCCCCTGGTGTCCCCTGACCCCCCAGGTGTCCCCAGGTGTCCCCAGGTGTCCCCAGGTGTCCCCACCTTCCCCGTGTGCCTCCATTCTTGCCGCAGTGTTCACGGTGTCCCCGAACAGGCAGTACCGCGGCATCTTCAGCCCCACGACCCCCGCACACACCGGACCTGTGGGGACACCAAACTGTCCCCAACCTGTCCCCAACTGTCCCCAACCTGTCCCTGTGTCCCTAAACTGTCCCTGTGCACACCGGACCTGAGGGGACACCAACCTGTCCCCAAACTGGCCTCAAACTGTCACCAACCTGTCCCCAACCTGGCCCCAACCTGTCCCCAACCTGTCCCTGTGTCCCCAACCCTGTCCCCAACCCTGTCCCTGTGTCTCCAACCTGTCCCCAACCTGTCCCTGTGATCCCCAAACTGTCCCCAACCTGTCCCCAACCTGTCCCCAAACTGTCCCCAACCTGTCCCCAACCTGTCCCCAACCTGTCCCTGACCTGTCCCCAAACTGTCCCCAAACTGTCCCTGTGTCCCCAAACTGTCCCCAAACTGTCCCCAACCTGTCCCCAGCCCTGTCCCCAACCCTGTCCCTGTGTCCCCAACCTGTCCCCAACCTGTCCCTGTGTCCCCAACCTGGCCCCAAACTGTCCCCAACCTGTCCCCAGCCCTGTCCCCAACCCTGTCCCTGTGTCCCCAACCTGTCCCCAACCTGTCCCTGTGTCCCCAAACTGTCCCCAAACTGTCCCCAAACTGTCCCCAAACTGTCACCAACCTGTCCCTGCACACACCGGACCTGTGGGGACACCAACCTGTCCCCAAAGTGTCCCCAAACTGTCCCTGTGTCCCCAAACTGTTCCCAACCTGGCCCCAACCCTGTCCCTGTGCACACCGGACCTGTGGGGACACCAACCTGGCCCCAAACTGTCCCCAAACTGTCCCCAAACTGTCCCCAACCTGTCCCCAACCTGGCCCTGTGCACACCGGACCTGTGGGGACACCAACCTGTCCCCAAACTGTCCCCAACCTGTCCCTGTGTCCCCAACCTGTCCCTGCGCACACCGGACCTGCAGGGACACCAAACTGTCCCCAAACTGTCCCTAACCCTGTCCTCAGCCCTGTCCCCAACCCTGTCCCTGTGTCCCCAAACTGTCCCCAACCTGTCCCTGTGTCCCAAAATTGTCCCCAACCCTGTCCCCAACCTGTCCCTGCACACACCGGACCTGCAGGGACACCAACCTGTCCCCAAACTGTCCCCAAACTGTCCCTAACCTGTCCCCAAACTGTCACCAACCTGTCCCTGTGTCCCCCTCCTGACCAGTGTGGATGCCGATGCCCTGTCCCTGTGTCCCCTGTCCCCCTGTCCCCCTGTCCCCAACCCTGTCCCTGTGTCCCCAAACTGTCCCTGTGTCCTCAACCCTGTCCCTGTGTCCCTGCACACACCGGACCTGCAGGGACACCAACCTGTCCCCAAACTGTCCCCAAACTGTCCCCAAACTGTCCCCAACCTGTCCCCAACCCTGTCCCTGTGTCCCTAAACTGTCCCCGCGCACACCGGACCTGTGGGGACAGCGGGATGGCCCTGTCCCCAAACTGTCCCCAACCTGTCCCTGTGTCCCCAACCTGTCCCCAACCCTGTCCCCAACCTGTCCCTGCACACACTGGACCTGCGGGGACAACATCACAGCCCTGTCCCTGTCCCCAACTTTGTCCTGGTGTCCCCTGTCCCTGTCCCCCTGTCTCCATCCTGACCAGTGTGGATGCCGATGCCCTGTCCCTGTCCCTGTCCCTGTCCCCGTACCGGTGTGGATGCCGATGCCCTGTCCCTGTGTCCCTGTCCCCATCCCTGTCCCTGTGTCCCCAACCCTGTCCCCCTGTCCCCTGTCCTCGTACCGGTGTGGATGCCGATGCCCTGTCCCTGTCCCTGTCCCTGTCCCTGTCCCCATGTCCCTGTCCCTGTGTCCCTGTCCCTGTCCCTGTCCCTGTGTGTCCCTGTCCCCATGTCCCTGTCCCTGTGTCCCTGTCCCTGTCCCTGTCCCTGTCCCTGTGTGTCCCTGTCCCTGTGTCCCTGTCCCTGTCCCTGTCCCTGTGTCCCTGTCCCCATGTCCCTGTCCCTGTGTGTCCCTGTCCCCATGTCCCTGTCCCTGTGTCCCTGTCCCTGTCCCTGTCCCTGTGTCCCTGTCCCTGTCCCTGTCCCTGTGTCCCTGTCCCCATGTCCCTGTCCCTGTCCCTGTCCCTGTCCCCATGTCCCTGTCCCTGTGTCCCTGTCCCTGTCCCTGTCCCTGTGTCCCTGTCCCTGTCCCTGTCCCTGTCCCTGTGTCCCTGTCCCTGTCCCTGTCCCTGTCCCTGTGTGTCCCTGTCCCTGTGTCCCTGTCCCTGTCCCCATCCCTATCCCTGTCCCTGTCCCTGTGTCCCCATGTCCCTGTCCCCCTGTCCCTGTACCGGTGTGGATGCCGATGCCCTGTGTCCCCATCCCTGTCCCTGTGTCCCTGTCCCCCTCCTGATTGGTGTGGATGCCAATGCCCTGTGTCCCTGTCCCTGTGTCCCTGTCCCCCCATCCCTGTCCCCATCCCTGTCCCTGTCCCCGTACCGGTGTGGATGCCGATGCCCTGTGTCCCTGTCCCTGTGTCCCTGTCCCCCCATCCCTGTCCCCATCCCTGTCCCCGTACCGGTGTGGATGCCGATGCCCTGTCCCTGTCCCTGTCCCCATCCCTGTCCCTGTATCCCTGTCCCTGTCCCTGTCCCTGTCCCTGTCCCTGTCCCTGTCCCTGTCCCTGTCCCTGTCCCTGTCCCTGTCCCCATCCCTGTGTCCCTGTCCCCATCCCTGTCCCCCTCCTGACCGGTGTGGATGCCGATGCCCTGTTCCCATCCCTGTCCCTGTCCCCATCCCTGTCCCCATGTCCCCCTGTCCCTGTCCCCGTACCGGTGTGGATGCCGATGCCCTGTGTCCCTGTCCCTGTGTCCCTGTCCCTGTCCCTGTGTCCCCCTTCTGACCGGTGTGGATGCCAATGCCATGTCCCTGTCACTGTGTCCCCATCCCTGTCCCTGTCCCTGTCCCTGTCCCTGTCCCCCTCCTGACCGGTGTGGATGCCGATGCCCTGTGTCCCTGTGTCCCTGTCCCTGTCCCTGTGTCCCTGTCCCCATCCCTGTCCCCGTACCGGTGTGGATGCCGATGCCCTGTCCCCATGTCCCTGTGTCCCCATCCCTGTGTCCCTGTCCCCATCCCTGTCCCCATCCCTGTCCCTGTCCCTGTCCCTGTGTCCCTGTCCCCATCCCTGTCCCCCTGTCCCTGTGTCCCTGTCCCCCTGTCCCTGTCCCCATCCCTGTGTCCCCATCCCTGTCCCCCTGTCCCCATACCGGTGTGGATTCCGATGCGCAGCTCGAGGCGCTGGCCGGGCCGGTGGCGGATCCTGAAGGTCCTCACGGCGTCCAGCAGGGCCAGCGCCATCCGCGCCACCTCCCGCGCGTGCAGCTTCCCGTTCCGCACCGGCAGCCCCGACACCACCATGTAGGCGTCACCAATGGTCTCCACCTGGGGGACATCACAGGGACATCGACAGGGACAGCAGGGACATCATCAGAGACAGCCCTGACACCACCATGTAGGCGTCACCGATGGTCTCCACCTGCAGGGACATCACAGGGACATCGACAGGGACAGCCCCGACACCACCATGTAGGCGTCACCGATGGTCTCCACCTGGGGGGACATCGACAGGGACATCGACAGGGACAGCAGGGACAGCCCTGACACCACCATGTAGGCATCACCAATGGTTTCCACCTGCAGGGGACATTGACAGGGACATCGACAGGGACATCATCAGGGACAGCCCTGACACCACCATGTAGGCATCACCAATTGTCTCCACCTGGGGGGACATCGACAGGGACATCGACAGGGACAGCAGGGGACAGGAGGGGACATCAGGGACAGCCCTGACACCACCATGTAGGCGTCACCGATGGTCTCCACCTGAGGGGACAGCACAGGGACATCGACAGGGACAGCCCCGACACCACCATGGAGGTGTCACCGATCGTCTCCACCTGCAGGGACATCGACAGGGACAGCCCTGACACCACCATGTAGGCATCACCAATTGTCTCCACCTGTGGGGACAGCAGCAGGGACAGCAGGGACATCGACAGGGACAGCCCTGACACCACCATGTAGGCGTCACCAATCGTCTCCACCTGGGGGGACATTGACAGGGACATCGACAGGGACAGCAGGGACATCATCAGGGACAGCAGAGACATTGACAGGGACAACAGGGACATCGACAGGGACAGCCCTGACACCACCATGTAGGCGTCACCGATCGTCTCCACCTGCAGGGACATCGACAGGGACAGCAGGGACATCATCAGGGACAGCCCTGACACCACCATGTAGGCGTCACCAATCGTCTCCACCTGAGGGGACATCGACAGGGACATCGACAGGGACAGCCCTGACACCACCATGTAGGCGTCCCCAATCGTCTCCACCTGGGGGGACAGCACAGGGACAGCAGGGACATCATCAGGGACAGCAGGGACATCATCAGGGACAGCCCTGACACCACCATGTAGGCGTCACCGATGGTCTCCACCTGCAGGGACATCGACAGGGACAGCAGGGACATCGACAGGGACAGCCCTGACACCACCATGTAGGCGTCACCAATGGTCTCCACCTGGGGGGACATCGACAGGGACAGCAGGGACAGCCCTGACACCACCATGTACGCATCCCCAATCGTCTCCACCTGCAGGGACATCGACAGGGACACGAGGGGACAGCAGGGGCAGCCCTGACACCACCATGTAGGCGTCACCGATCGTCTCCACCTGAGGGGACAGCACAGGGACATCATCAGGGACAGCCCTGACACCGCCATGTAGGCATCACCAATGGTCTCCACCTGGGGACATCGACAGGGACAGCAGGGACAGCCCTGACACCACCATGTACGCATCCCCAATCGTCTCCACCTGCAGGGACATCGACAGGGACATCGACAGGGACAGCAGGGACATCATCAGGGACAGCCCTGACACCGCCATGTAGGTGTCACCGATCATCTCCACCTGTGGGGACATTGACAGGGACATCAACAGGGACAGCAGGGACAGCCCTGACACCACCATGTAGGCGTCACCGATGGTCTCCACCTGGGGGGACAGCACAGGGACAGCAGGGACATCATCAGGGACAGCCCTGACACCACCATGTAGGCGTCACCGATCGTCTCCACCTGGGGGGACAGCAGGGACATCGACAGGGACAGCAGGGACATCATCAGGGACAGCCCTGACACCGCCATGTAGGCATCACCAATGGTCTCCACCTGGGGGGACATCGACAGGGACAGCAGGGACAGCCCTGACACCACCATGTACGCATCCCCAATCGTCTACACCTGCAGGGACATCGACAGGGACAGCAGGGACATCATCAGGGGACAGCCCTGACACCGCCATGTAGGTGTCACCGATCATCTCCAGCTGAGAGGACATCAACAGGGACACGAGGGGACATCAGGGGACAGCAGGGGCAGCAGGGGATAGCAGGGGACAGTGGGGACACAAAAGGATTTTGGGATTATGTGATTCTGGAATTCTGTGATTTTGGGATTGTGTGATTCTGGGATTTTGAGATTGTGGGATTTCGGGATTGTGCAATTCTGGGATTTGGGGATTCTGTGATTCTGGAATTCTGGGATTTTGGGATTCTGTGCTTTTGGAATTCTGTGATTCTGGGATTTTGGGATTGTGTGATTTTGGGATTGTGGGATTTTGGGATCCTGAGATTCTGGGATCTGGGGATTCTGTGATTTTGGGATCTGGGGATTCCGGTCTTTTGGGATCATGTGATTTTGGGATCCCATGATTCTGGGATCTGGGGATTCTGTGATTTTGGGATTGTGTGATTGTAGAATTCTGTGATTTTGGGATCCTGTAATTCTAGGATCCTGTGATTCTGGGCTTTTGGGATCGTGTGACTTTGGGATCCTGTGATTCTGGGATTCTGTAATTCTGGGATCCTGTGATTCTGGAATTCTGTGATTCTGTGGTTTTGGGATTCTGTGATTCTGGGATTTGGGGATTCCGGGCTTTGGGGATTCTGTGATTTTGGGACCCTGTGATTCTGGTCTTTTGGGATCGCATGATTTTGGGATCCTGTGATTCTGGGATTTGGGGATTGTGTGACTTTGGGATCCTGGGATTCTGTGATTCCGGTCTTTTGGGACGGCGTGGCTTTGGGATCCTGTGCTTTGGGATCCCGTGACTTTGGGATCCCGTGACTTTGGGATCCCGTGCCTCGCCAATTACGAAGCTCCTGCCGTTCAGATCTTCCAACACTGCCGCCATCTCCACGATCCTGTCGCATCCCTGTCACTCCCAGGACTCCCATGAACCCCCAAACCCCCAAACCCCCAAACCCTTGACACCCCGACCTTGTAGGCGTCGAAGTTGTCGATGATGGCGTCGGAAGCAGGTGTAGAGGTCGTTGAGCAGCGTCACCACCTGCATGGGGTGCTCTGGGCCGACAGCGCCGTGAACCCCACGATGTCGCTGAAGTGCACGGTGACGCTGTCGAACGCCTCGGCCTGCACCGCCTCCCCGCTGCAGCTGCTCCGCCACCGAGCTGGGGGCATTGGGGAGGGGGTTAGGGGGTTTGGGGGGGTTTGGGAGGTTAGGAGGGGTTAGGGGGTGAGGGAGGTAAAGGGGCAAAGGGGAGGGAAACACCCCACTCGGAGGTCCCAGGGCATGGGGGGAAACGGCACACCCTGGGTGGGGGGAGAGGGTGGGGAGGGTGGGGGGGGATACATGACCCTCTGGGTGGGGATAAGGGGTGGGGAGAGGGTAGAGGGGGACATGACCCACTCTGGGGGAAAGGTGGGGAGAGGGTGGGGAGGGTGGACATGACCCCTGTAGGGGGAAAAGGTGGGAGGAGGGAGGACACGACCCCTCTGGGTTGGGGAAGAGGGTGGGAGGGGGTAGAGGGGGACATGACCCATTCTGGGTGGGGAGGGGGACAAGACCCCTCTGAGTGAGGGGAGAGGGTGGGGAGGGGGATACAACCACTCTGGGTGGGGGAGAGGGTGGGGAGGGGGACAAGACCACTCTGGGTGGGGGAGAGGGTGAGGGAGGGTGGGGAGGGGGACAAGACTCCCTGGGTGGGGGGAGAGGGTGGGGAGGGTGGGGAGGGGGATATGACCCACCCTGGGTGGGGGAGAGGATGGGGAGGGTGGACAAG